CCCCCCCACCGGCCGCCCGGTGCTCCGCACGCCCCGTCCCATGCGCCCCAACTCGGGCCCGTCCCGCCTAACCCTAAGCCCCGCACGGTGCTGCCTCGCCCTCCCCGCCAGCCTCGCATGCCAAGCCCGGCCCTGGGGTCCCCGGGAGGGGGGGCAGGGGAGATGTGGGACCCCCACCCCCCCAGCCCCTTCCCGCCCCGCAGAAGTGGCGCTCGCAGGGGTGTCGGTGCGCGGAGACAGGAGGTATGGAGAAACGAGGTGATGCTTGGGAGCCCTGTGTGGAAATGCTCTGGGGTGCAACTTTGGGGTGTCGCTGCGTGCGCGTTCAGGAACAGGTCTGTGGGGGCTGTGGGGGGTGGCTTTGCCGTCGCAGCACCAAATTCCCACCGAGGAGCCCAGCGCGAGCCCCTCCTGCGTGGCGTTTCTCTCGGTGAGGGGCTGCGACACTTCTGTGTGCAGCAGCCATCTGTCTCTGACAGTGAGAGAGTTGCCCCTTCCCGCAGTGCCCCCCGCCCCCACTGCACCAGAGCTGATGGGGGAGCCGTCTGGAAAGCTGGGGAGCGAGTTGAAGTGAATGCACACAGTAGGCACCTAGCAGAGTGTCCGAATCTCTAGATGGTGTCCGAATGGCAGAATCTCTTTTGCAAAAACCCTTGCGTCTTTTTAATATGAAGAGTCTGGGGTAGGGGAACTTGGGGGAATTTGACCTGGGTGCCTGGTTTAGCGGGGATGAACCTTTAAGAAAAATCCTGATGCCTTACCTGCGAGGCTGCCAGGTGAACCTGTCTGGCCTTTTCCAAAGCCAAATACCTCCAAATCTGCTCCCCATTTTAGGCTCACTTTGCAAAAGTGAGGGCTTGGCTGAGGGCCCAGGGGTCAGAAGGTTTCCATTCACTGTCTCCCTATCCCTGCTTTTAGCATGTGAGGTTTCGTATTCTGGGGGAGAGGGTCTGCGGGGGGGGGGGTGGAATTAAGTGTCTGACCTGCTCCTAGGAACTAAGTGGTTTACTGTGGTCACTCCATAACCAGGAACATGGCAGAGATTTTTCTTTTTTTTTTTCCTCCCCGAGTGGGCTGATGTGAGAAACCTACTGTGTGCCAGGCTGGTAGGAGGGGGTTTGGCTCCCTCCGGGGAGGCTGTGGACTGCTGGGAGAAGACAGGCTTTGCCTTGGCCTCTGGGGCCTCGTGGGGTGAATGGTGTAACCTTTCTTGTGACTCAGGAGCTGAATGCTTCCCGGCCTGCCACCCCCAAAATGGATTCTGCGAGGATGACAATGTTTGCAGGTAATGGGGTGGCTCCCCAGAAGCAGCTCGTAGGTGGTCAGGACAGAATCCTGGGGAGTTGTGGTGTCAGGCAGGAAGGGGGGGCTTGGCTGCTGGGCTGCAGCAAACAGCTTTCTCGCCCCTGCAGGAAACTGGTGGGGGGTAGCGAGGGGTAGAAGAGGGCAGGGGTCAGGGGACAGCCACGGCTCCTGTCTGCCCTCTCAGCAGTGGGGGTGTTGGGAAAGCCCCTCGCAGGGTGAGACCACTGCAGGCCACTGCGGCAAGACGCAGTGCTCCCCCAGTCTCTCAGGGACCCTTCTGTCTGGTCCTCTGTTGACGCTTTTCTGTTCAGGTGACTGGTATTTGCTTCCGGGGACCCACTTGGCCTGGTACTGTGCAGACACCCCCGAGGGATCTTGGCTCCACAGTAGGCAGCTTGAGCTCCCTCTCCACTCCTGCCCCCCTTCATAGGTCCCCATCTTCCCCTCCCCCCCCGCAGGTGCCAGCCTGGCTGGCAGGGTCCCCTGTGTGATCAATGCATGACCTTTCCTGGCTGTGTTAACGGACTCTGCGTGGAACCCTGGCAGTGCATTTGTGACCACGGCTGGGACGGGAACCTCTGCGACATAGGTGGGCACCCCACCCCACCCCTGCCCTGGGTGCCCAGCCTGTGGCGGCCTCCCCTCCCCCTCCCGCCTTATTCCCACACACCCAGGGCTCTGTATGGTAATGATCTGTTTATATTCTTCTCGCTGGTGCCCCAGAGCCTCCTCACAGGTAGGGACTTAATTTTGCTCCCCTCTGCTCTGGCCAGTACCAGCACCCAGAGAAGGCCCTTTGTGGGGGCCAGCAGGGAGCTGCCTGTTGAATAGAGTCACAACATAAGCACACGCCACACAAAGCTGAAAGGGTAGAGGCCAGGGTAACCTCTCCGGGTCACTAAAACTCCGAGGGGGTGAGGGCTCGGGGTGGGGGTCACAGAGCTAAACCTCCGAGAAATTCACACAGGAGGCTGCAAAGCACGCAAACAAACAAACGAAGGGGTGGGGGTGGTGAGCGGGGGTGGGGGGGCCGGGAGCTGAGTCAGGGCCGGCTGGCCCAACAGAGCTGGTGTCCGTGGTCAGGTGTATGGGGAGGCTGGGGGTCGGGAAGGGCTGAGAAGTGGTCAAAGTGCAGATTTGTGTGATCTGTTGATTTCATTAATTTATGCAAACTTTGTCCTCCATGACCCTGAGCAAATTGAGAGTTGGCTGTCCCTGCATTTTTAGGCTGCAAAATGTCCATCTGAGTCCATCCTGCTTTGGCAGAACCTGCCCCGAAGCTGGGGCAAGCTGAAGTCCTCGAAAAAACTCCCAGCAGCATAGGGCAGCTACCACAGGTCCTCAACCTGAGCTGGGACGAGGGGTACTGATAGGGAAATCGAGGCTCAAGGAAGTCAAGGGCCGTGCTTAGGGACACAGAAGAAGTTGTCGGGAGAAAAGCCAGCTAAAATCCCTTCTCCTAGCCCCAGAACTGGGCTAATTCTCATCTGTGGCTCTTCCTAATCCTCTCCCTTAAGGAAAAGGCAAGAGCGTGTTGTGACCACCGCCAGGGCAGCGGCCTTTCCTAATCGAGCCCACCCCTCACCACATTGTCTCAGGTCCTTAAAGGCCCCGCAGCTGACTCATGCTCTGACCAGCAGCTCTGCCGCCCCTCAGCACCGCACACTCTGAGCTGCTTTGGGACCCACAGGATCCCCGAAAAGCCACCTCTTGGGGTCAGGGCTTTTAGCCTGGAGCCCACCCTCTTTGGTGTCTGGTTCAGGACTGCCCCCTCCCCGCCCATGGAGTTTTCCAGACAAAAAGGTCCCCTCCTCACTGGGTTGACAAAGCCTCTCAGCCTGGGACTCTGGGTCCCGAGGAAACAGCCCTCCGGGTAATTAGCAGCTCTCTCCCTTTCTCCGGGTCTCTGAGGCTGTCAGGGCCCCAGCTGCTGCCCCAGCAGAGACCCCGGGCAGCTTTCTCCTTGCCCGGGCTTAATCTACCCTTCCCTTGGGCTGGAGGCCCAGGAGTTGGGAAGAATGGCTCATCCTCTGCTCGTGGGGCTGGATGCTGCCGGGAGGGAAGGGGGGTGGTCGCCAGCTCTTTAGCTTAAATTTGAGATTACCAGTGACGGGGTTGCTGGGAGCACAGGATTGGGAGCCTTCTCCTGCTAGCTGTGCCGGCCCCTTCCCGTAGTGATAAATCCTCTTTATGTTTCCTTATACTGAGCCGGGCTCCCGGGGAATGCCTCGTGCGCTCTGGATAGGCCATCAGGATGGCGTTCAGGCTGCTCCTTATTGACTGATTGCCATTCTCCCTCCACGAGGGTGCGGGTCTCCTTAAAAGAGAGAAAAAAAATTTGCACCCACCCACTCCGTCTTAACTTGCTGCGTCTCTGGTTGGCCCTGGCTTTGTATTTGGCAGGTGCTCCCCGAAGCTAAAAGGTACCCCCCCCCAGACCTACCAGGGAGAGCCCCTCCTTTTGTCAGTGGGGAAAGTGAGGCATAGAGTGGGGAGGAGCTGAACTCTGAGGCCGGCTGGAGCCAGGCCTAGAAAAGGTCCCTCCTGGCCCTGCCTGGGGGCGGGGGTCTCCACTGGCAGAAAGCCCCTGACCCAGGCCCCTTTGTTCAGCTGTCCCTGGCTCACCGAGCCCCGCATAATGAAGTGTGCATGACGGGAGGTGTAAAAAGGCGGCAGAAATATAGCAGTGTTCATGGAAACCCACACGGACAGGAGAGCACTCAGATACTTCTAATTTCGCTGCCTTCAAAAGATACAGCCTTTTTACCGTGAGCCCCTCCGTTCAGATCCTGAGCGCAGAAAGAGCGACCACCAGGAGGTGGAGGTAGCGCTGGGGCTGAATCAGGCTTCTTGATTCCCGACAGGGGTCTTCACATGTCTCTATTTCTCCCCCGCCCCTCTGTGGTGGGGAACTTTGAAGGGCAGCTGGTGTTTTCTAACAGCTGGGCTTCGCGATTGCCCTGAATGGCAGGGACCCCCCCAAACAGGAGAAGCAGGACATGAAAATTTGTCTGGGGGAGGCAGGCACTGGGGAGCCTTGGCCTGGCACACACCGTTTGGGGGGAGGGAAGGGGTCTGCAGTGAAGGGCATGCTGCTGGACCGGAGAGGAGACCTGGCGCCAGGAAAAGGGGACGGCTCTCCTGGGTTGAGGAACAGTGAGCGGCCATGACTTTCTGTCCCTCTGACCTACCCCAAGGGAGCCCCTTCAGCTCCCTGAGCTGCTTACCCACTGCAGTTTCGGGGGGTCACTACACGTTCTTCCTCAGGACCCCATTTGGTGACCATTGACAGTGGCCACAAACAGAGCCATCGAGGCAGCTCACTCGGGGTCCCCGCCCTTGACCAGCTGGAGGGCTCTGTCCCTGCCCCCATCCAGAAAGCTCTCCTTCCAGCCTGTCCCCCTCTCCCTCCCTGGGAGGGGGTGACAAAGTCTGCTCTTCCCTCCCCACCCCAGATGTCCAGGCTTGCGCCTCGACCCCCTGCGCCAACAATGGGACCTGCGTGAACCTCGATTCCGGCCACTATGAATGCTCCTGCGTCCCTGGGTTCTCGGGAAAGGACTGTCAGAAGAAGGATGGGCCCTGCGTGATCAATGGGTAAATATTCTTTCCGACTCTGTGTGATCTGATGAATGCTGCTTTGATTCCCGCTTCACACCCCTAAAGACCCTTTCAGCCTAGCCCAGTCGGACCTGTCGCCTGACAAAAGACCGAGTAAGTGCCCGTCCTGCAGCCCTGCGGGGGGCCGTCCCAGATCAGGGTATTTAGTGGGGAGTGTGTCATTTCCATCATTTCTGAAGGGACCCCAAAGGTGATTTCATACTCTCTTGATGCTCCCAAGTCCTGATGTGCGTGTGTGACGGTAGACAGGGCCCGCTGACCAGAGCAGGGAGCAGGGAGCCGCACCGTATTCTAAGGGCAGCCCCGGGGGGTGGGGGGCGGTGAGACTCTTCGTGAAGCCCACTCACTGCATTTTAGGGGGTGGTTTTGGGGAACTGGCAGACTCTGCAGCTGGGTTTTCGGGGATGTCTTGGGGGGATCTGCTAGGCTCAGGAGTGGAGAGAGGGGCCTTTGGCCAGCGGGGTCTGGGGGGGGGGTCCAGCTCTCAGCTGCCCTCAGTGGGGCGGGGGCTCTGGGACTTCTGAGCAGTGGGCACAACAGACAAGAAGGGCCACTTGCTTTCTAGCAGCCAAGCCATTTCCGGCCCTTATCTGTTTAGCTACCCTGAGCCTACCCAGCCGTCTGCTGGGGCTTAGGCAGTCGGTCACAAGAATGCAAACTGGAGCCGGGTCCCGGGCCGGGAGCTGGGGGGTGGGGGAGACAGACGCTACCAGGCAGAATAAGCTTATCTTGACCTGACATTCCAGGGGGCTGTGGAGGACCCTGGAGCCAGCGAAGGCCACAAACAGGCATTTGTGCATCTAAAGATCAGTGTTCAGAGAGGGTCAGAGGAGAGGGGGTCACAACCAAAGTCCGCGTCTGCTTCTTAGTGGGATGGGAAAATACAGAGAGAAACCTTTAAAATATTTTGTTTTCTCTCCAACCAACTTGAACCAGTCTGTCAAAATAGAGCCCAGGGTCCTTGAAGTTCCTTCAGAGCCCAGCTCCCATACAGCCCTCACCCCCGAAGCGGCAATGCTGATTTCGTTGTGCTTAGAGCCCCTTTCTTCTCTGGGTTTTGGCATTTATCAGATGACAAAGGGTCTGCTCGTTTAAAAGCACTTACATTAAATGCTCCTGTGCTCCGCTCTCAGCAAACAGCTCCGGTTTGCACGCCGCAGTTGGGTGAATGGCCCACGATTAAACAGCTGGGCGCAGACGCTGGCCGGGCCGGCAGATAGACCGAGGCTTGCTTTCACTCTGAGCGTCCCCAAGGGCTTCCCGTACAATAGTCTGCAGGCTCTCTCTGCCGAAAGTGACAATACGAGTCATCAGGGTGGTGGTGTGGCGCAGACAGCTTGTGTGTGGGGGGGGGCCTGAGGCCCCGGCTCTGCCCAGCGGCCCAGGGATGGAGCTGATGGAGGGGGCTCGCTCCAGCCCTGGGTCATCACTAACTTTGCCTCTCTCAGCCTCAGTTTCCCCACCTGTCCAGTGACTAACCGTCAGGCCTCTGGTCGGAGAGATGACATAAGAGGTGGGAGAGGAGACGGGCGTCGGCCCGGGAGGTCAGGCGTGTTCCAGGCTGGCAGCTGGAGGGGGTGAGGCGCGCACCCCCCCCCACAGGCGTGCCTGCATCCAGCTCGGACCGCCCAGGAGCCCCTCGCGGGCAGGGGTGGCAGCGCCCGGTGTCTCCCTGGCCGGCGCTCGCTCACGCACCGGACGGGGCCTAAGCACCCGCCTGCCGCCCCCCCCAACCCCGCGCCCCGGCACCACCGTCCTAGCCCAGCCCCCGAGGGCCCTTTACCGTGTCCCCCCGTTGTGTTGCAGTTCCCCCTGTCAGCACGGAGGCACCTGCGTGGATGATGAGGGCCGGGCCTCCCATGCCTCCTGCCTGTGCCCCCCTGGCTTCTCAGGCAATTTCTGCGAGATCGTGGCCAACAGCTGCACCCCGAACCCGTGCGAGAACCAAGGCATCTGCACCGACATTGGGGGCGACTTCCGCTGCCGATGCCCCGCCGGCTTCGTGGACAAGACCTGCAGCCGCCCCGTGAGCAACTGCGCCTCCGACCCGTGCCTCAACGGGGGCACCTGCCTGCAGCACACCCAGGTGAGGTACGAGTGTCTGTGCAAGCCCGAGTTCACGGGCCCCCTCTGTGGCCGGAAGCGCGCCCCGAGCCCCCAGCAGGTCACCCGTCTGCCCAGCGGGTACGGGCTGACCTACCGCCTGACCCCCGGGGTGCACGAGTTGCCAGTGCCCCAGCCCGAGCACCGCATCCTGAAGGTGTCCATGAAGGAGCTCAACAAGAGCACTCCCCTCCTCTCCGAGGGCCAGGCCATCTGCTTCACCATCCTGGGCGTGCTGACCAGTCTGGTGGTGCTGGGCACCATGGGCATCGTCTTCCTCAACAAGTGCGAGGCCTGGGTGTCCAACCTACGCTACAGCCGCATGTTGCGTCAGAAGAAGAACCTGCTGCTGCATTACAACAGCGGGGAGGACCTGGCGGTCAACATCATCTTCCCCGAGAAGATCGACATGGCCACCTTCAGCAAGGAGGCCAGCGAAGACGACATCTAAGCGGCGCCCCTGCCGGCCCCTCTCTGTTCTCGGGGTCCCGCAGAGCTCACTACGTGCGGTCTGTTCTCCTCTTTGTGGTGGAATTTGCTCTATTTTGTGTCGAATCTGGTGAACCCTATGCTTACCTCTATTACCTTTGTGTTGCTCTGTGACAAAGTGCCCGAAGCATCCTCTTGCTCTCTCTTAATGCATGATCGAAGAATAATAATAAGAATTTCATCTTTAAACAAGTAAAAGAAATAAGTATGTTATTCTAAACTCTAAACGTAAAATCAAAAAGACCAAAAAAAAACAAGGCAACAGAACCGGGACTCGGTGCCGACATCCCTCTCCGAGGGGTCTCGGCCACGGTCCTCGTGAAACCGTTACGAGTGCTGTGCATGACCACCCACTGTGAAAAAGGCTAAAATCTCTTTCGTTCGTTAATCCTCACACGCCACATCCAACGCGCACTCACATCAAGTTCAAACACCGCAAACTTTAGATCTTTCAGATTGATTTGAGATTTTGCGGAGTGCAGCGGCCGTGTGTCAGGCAGAGAGAGCCCCGGGTTGGCTGCTGGGGGGCCGGGACCTCGTCCCAGCCCTGCCACTAACTCGCTGTGTGATCCTTGGCGAGCCCCCGTCCCCACCCCGGGCCCACCTCTTCCCCCCTCGAGGGAGGGGCTGGAATGCAGTGACCATCAAAGTTCTCTCTGACTCTAAAACTCTGAATGAGGAACGAAAGGGTATGAACCAAAACAGTTCCTGACCCTAAAAATTAGGATCTGATGAAGACAGAAGTCTCATCCCAGATCCACAGGTTTTGGCCTATCCTGGATGCACACTTGACATATTGAGATCGATCCTAACTGCATTTCTCAAAGTGGGGAGCCTCCTGGCCCGCTTTCGGTTTGGAAGCAATTGGCCCCCTTTGAGTCACAAAGTGCAGTCTGGAGTTGCCACTTGGGCAGCCCCCAGCCACCCCCAAATCCCCAGCACTTTACCTGCCTCCTACCCTGTAGATTAGAGATGTCCCTTGAAATTTAAATGCCCCTTGAACCACAAGTGCCCCCTGGCGAAATCTGAGCAGCAACACAGCCCTCACCAAGGTTTCCACAGGGTTTAGTGGGAAATTGTCGCTCGTGGGGTGTCTCCTAGTTCTGTGGTCAAAGGTCCCAGACCTTGGTCTACACAGCTATGGATTTAATTTGTGTTGCTGAGTTAATAACTCTCAGATCCCGAAAGACCTAGCCAGCTTCTGAATTATAAATTTGAATTTTTTTTAAAAAGAGCATCTATCTTTTTTGCGAAAATAGAAAGAAATGGGACAGAGGTCTGTTTGGCTTTCCAGCTCTTAAGGGTTGGGCAGCTAAACAGCCCTTGGGTACCGGTGAGAAATATTTTGCTTCTTAAATTATTTGGATAGGAAGCTATATTCTTAGCTTTATTGAGTATTACCTGCCGTGTTTACCTTGCTCCAAGTATTTATTTCCAAATCATCATCACCATCTTCCTGGTCATTCAAGTCATCCCCTCACACACAGACATGCGTCACCGTCACCATACAACCATCGACCTCACTACCTTCAGCCACTGACCACTGTCCCCTGTCCCTCGTCATCCTGAGTCAGAGCATGACCGTTCATCTCCTCCAGCTCTCCGTGCCCCATCCAAGCCCCTGTCCCCATCGCTCCCAGTCCCCGAGCCCCTCCCACCCCCACCCCCTTGTTCCTGGTCCTCTGCAGGCAGAGGCCTGTCACCCCTCGAGCCCTCCCCCCCTCCCCCAATGCTCACCCAAGTCCCTTCCTTACCCGCCTCCGGGCAATTTACCCTCAATCCCAAGACCCTGTCACCTTTGCTGGCCAGCCCCTCCCACCCCAAGCTCCCGTGCCCCTCCCCTTCCTACCCTCACACCCTGTTGTCCCACCCCTGGACTCGGAGAGCGCCCACCCCACGTCCCTCCTACCCCATGTCATTCAGTCATCATCTCATCTCATTTTGAGTTCGTTTTGAGAAATAAAAAATTTAAAAAGACAAAAAAAAAAAAGAACTGTTGGCATGGCCAGGCGGGTGTCTGGCACCCCGCCTGGCCTCTCTCGCGTGAGACCTTGACCGAGTCCGCTAACTGTTCTGATCCAGTTTCCCCAAACACGAAATTCCGAGATTGGCCCAAGTGATTCAATTCTCTGTTCCCCTCTTTCCATCTCCATGCTGTCGAGAACAGCCTGTTCCCCCCACCCCCCCCTGACGACAAGGGAAAGTATCCCACGGTCTGTCAACCCTTGACCCGCTCCCCATCCATTTACCAACTCATCCACCATTCATTCATTTGATCAGGAAGCATTTCCAGCACCTGCTGCGTGCAAGGCAGCGTGCGGGGAGCTGTGCGGCACGCAGGATGAGGGCAGTCTGGGAGGGGGGAGCGGACACACGGTGTCCCCAGCAAGCCAAGCAGTGCAGGTAAAATGCCGTGGGAGCAGGGAGTCCTGAACAGACGCCCTTAAGCCTGACCATCTTACCTTCCCACGTGACAAATTATCTATTACCAGCACCCGACGAGGCCACCCCACCCAAATTCCACAGCGCCCACTCGCACACATCCTGCGAAATCAGAACAGTGTCCGCAGCCTCGACACGGTCCTCACGTCATGCAGAAATGGTCCATTCCATCCTCTGTGGGGTAACCAGATTCTGCTGAGAGTGTCGGGATCTCTGGCTGCCCATCCACACCTCGTGTGTGTTTGGAGTAGTATGTAGTTTACGAAACAAACGGAAAAGCTCAAAGACAGCTGTCGAGGACATGATCACCAATTCGGTCCCAAAATTGAGAGAGGAGGAGGCGTAATGATCTTTTCTGTAACCAAAATATTTCAAAAATGTCAATGACGCTCTTTTTAGCTTTCCCGTTTCCTAAAAACCAGACAAGCAAAAAATTTTGTTTATTGAAAAATAAACAAAACCCAAGGGCTATTGGTGTGTTTCTGTGATCTGTTGTGCGCCGGGCTACCGTTGTCCCTTCCCACTGGTGGCCTTAGCCCCGGGCAAGAGGGGTCAGGGGCCCATGTCTTGGAGGGCCCTGCGGTGGCCCCGGCCCCTCCCACGTGGCCAGGAGACCCCAGGCGAAGGGCTGAGCCCACCCCGCCCCTTCCAGATGCACTCTGGGTGCCTGGAGCACCAGCATTTCCTGCCCTATTGGCCCCACCTCTGCCCTGGGTCTGTTTCCAACAGTGGCTGTGGGTGGGTGGTGTGGAGGGAGCTGGGGCTCCAGGAGGGGAGGGGGGACGGGGCAAGGGGTTCCATGCACGAGCACACCAGAGGTGAGGGTTGGCTCTCCCACCCACCAGGTCCCAGCCCAGAGCTCCCGGGGGTCCCAGAATGCCACGCTGTTCTGGTCCTTCCAGAACTTAGTGAAGGTGGCATCGGATTTTGTTTGGTCGTGAGAGGGACTTGGAGGCTTCCAAACCTTGGCACATCCGTATACGAGCCCCATTTAGACTCCTGACCTGGGCCCTGCACGGGCCGGGAGGGACCTGTCTCTCTGCCAGCCCTGGCCTCGGGCCACAGGCTTGCACACTCGGCTCACTAAAGCCACCCTTTTGAGTCCCCGTGGAGTGCCTGACTCTGCACGTGCCTGCCCACCCACCAGAGAGGGGTCAGCCGGACCCCTCCCCCCGGACACAGGCACTGCAGCCCAGTCCCTTATCCCTGCTGGCCCAGGAGGCCGCCACGGGGCAGGACCCCCTCCCCCACTTTCTCCCACCCCAGCCTCTCCTCTCCAGGGCTCCCCTCGGCCAGGCCACTGCCACGGCTCACCCAGCAGTCCAGCCGCGCCCGGGTGTCCCTGAGATGCCTCCCTCTTCCGCTCCCACTGCTTCTCCCTTCTGTGCTACTCTGCCCTCAGCTGGTGGGTGGGGGTCCCGTCAAGGCCGGGGACAGACAGGGGGATACTACCCCAGATGTGGGTGCCGTGCTGCAAACTATAAGAAAATAAGGGCGCCTGGGTGGCTCAGATGGTTAAGCGTCTGCCTTCGGCTCAGGTCATGATATCAGGGTCCTGGGATCGAGTCCCGCATCGGGCTCCCTGCTCCTTGGGAGCCTGCTTCTCCGTCTGCCTCTCTCTCTCTCTCTGTCTCTCATGAATAAATA